ACATCCCAAAGGAAAGTGGCGGCATGATATGCAACGTAAAAAACAAAAAAAAACAAATTGCACCGCCAAGATTGGGGATCTTGACGACCAAAAATATTAGCACCACTAGTGCAAGCACTAGTGGGAGCAAGTGAGAGGGCCAAAAGAAAAGTAAAAAAGTAAAGAAAACAAGGGCTAGAGGCATGGGAGCAATCCGAAAAATCTTGGATTAGCCTCCCCCAAGAAAATGGAGTCAAAAGGGCCGGCATGAGAAAAATAGGCTCCCGAAAAAAAATCGGTGCAAGGGGGCCTACCATTTGGGAGAGAGGAGGGCTAACGGTGGCTCCCAAGGGCATGGAAGGGCCATAACTGCATTCCAAAAATAACGGACTGACCCTTAGGCATAGGAAGGGCCAAAACTAAGAGGGAGAGGCAAGAAAAGGGCCTTAACGGCTAGTTGACACTTGACAAGCAAAAAGAAAAAGAAAAAAAAAATGTGGGAGAATGAGACAAGGAGAGTGAGAGGGAGTGAGTGAGTTGGCCGTCAGTTGGGGCTGCCAAGTCCCAACTGTCCACAAGTGGAGAAAAAAAAAAAGAAAAAAAAATTTTTTTTTAGAAAAATGTCTTAATGGCTAGTTGACACTTGACATGCACAAATAAAAAGAAAAGAAAAAGAAAAAGGAGGTGAGAGAGGATGAGTGAGTGAGCCGTCAGCTGGGACTGCAGCAAGTAGGGACTGCCAAGTCCCAACTGTCCACAAGTGGAGAAAAAAAAAAAGAAAAAAAAATTTTTTTTTAGAAAAATGTCTTAATGGCTAGTTGACACTTGACATGCACAAATAAAAAGAAAAGAAAAAGAAAAAGGAGGTGAGAGAGGATGAGTGAGTGAGCCGTCAGCTGGGACTGCAGCAAGTAGGGACTGCCAAGTCCCAACTGTCCACAAGTGGTGGAAAAAGAAAAGAAAAAAAAAAGAAAAAGAAAAGTAAAAGACGGAAAGTCCAAAAGACACTAACGGACAAAAACGGTCACCTAGGGGAAGGATTTTGGACCAGATTCACTTGGGCAATGTGGAGGTTACAAATGACAATGTTTTTTTTTGATTTATGCTGAGAAAATCGAAGAAAATCAAGAATCCTTGCAACCGAAAACTAACGGATATGGGAGAGGCGAAATACATGTTTTAGGTGCACCGAGAGCCAAAATGGAGACCGAATGCACTTGGGACATGACCGTTTTATTTTCTTGCAGTTGGGGGCCAGTTGTGGGGCACTAAGATAAAGAAAACAGCCCCTACTACAATCCGAGTTACAATGGACTGCATAGGGAGGGGCAAACATAAGGTTTTGGGGCTCTGGGAGCCAAAATTGAGCCCGGATGCCTTAGAAACATTTACGCACTGTTTTTCTTAGTCATGGTGCGTGACGTGGGGCTGTGGGGCTGGCAATATGGCTCTGGGTCTAGTCCGAAAAATAACGGACTTCCCAAGGATGCCCGGACCAAGGGGAAGTGGGCCGCGGCATGCCCGAAACACTAGAAAACGGCGCCGCGGGCCTAGGGGAATGTGACGGTAAAACGAAGACGATACGGCGGGGGCCCAGTGGCCGGGAAAACATTGACGGCACAAGGGGCACATGAAAACAAAATAATAAAACAGGACTGCCGGGGACATGGGAAGTCCCAAATAAAAATTGGACGTCAACCGGGATGACGCCGGGGGCCAAAGGGGGCCAAACAAAAATTGTCAGAAAATGGGCCTTGTCGACGGCACCGCCGGCGGAGTGGAAAAATGAGACTAGTATGGGAAGCGGCGGGGACTTGAGGTGTTCCAAGAGGGAGACCACTAGCTAAGGTAAAGAGTGGCCATGAGAGATAAATGACGTCGTCGAGATGAAGGATCTCGATGGTGGCAAATATTGGCATCACTAGTGCTAACACTAGTGGGGCCCAAACGGGTGAAAGCGGGAGTGAGGAGCAATAAAAAAATAATAAAGGGAGGGTTGCCCAGCAGTCCGGGGTATTTCGGGCTAGCCAGGCATGAGAAAACAAGAGCCCAAGGGGCCCCAAGCAAGAAAACGGGCCAGCCAAGAAAAATCGGAGCCAAAGGGGCTCAAAATGGAGGCTAACGGGAGTGAAATGAGCCCCCTAGGGGCATGGGCATGTCAACTTGGTAGGCCGGGGTGTAACGGCCAACAGCCGGCCATGAACCTGGCCACAATCAAGGCTCTAAGGCTGTAGCGGACCCACCAGGTGTGGTGCTCCGCTAGTGATAGAGATGGAGATGAAGGAAGAAGGGGGAGCAATATGGCACAACGCAGCTCCCCACGCAAGACTCCAACGCATGTACTCCAAAATGTGCAAGTGAGGAATGAGACTGAAAACAGACAATGGCTGGGGTATACCCCAGCGGACTGACGGGACTGGACTGGACTGGCTGGTACCGACAGAGGTACCGGCCTGGACTGGCCTACCCCGAATATAACACAGGCCTGTGAGAACAGGCCAAGGGGC